AGAAAAATTACCCGACAAAGAACGTGAGTTCAAAATTGTAAAAAGCAAATCCCCCCCCCCCCCCCATGGGAAAGTGGATTGCAAAGATTGCCTCTTATGCGAAAAGACTGATAAGCGAGACGAAGGGGGAAGGGGGAGGAAAAACAGCAAGTGTGTTTTGAGAGGCATACTTGATTGCTGACAGCATGGGAGCGATCTTTAGAGTCGGAGGGAAGCATCCGCCTGGCAGCCAGAGCCCAAAACCGGAAGCGGGAGCAGACGTCATGAAAATGCTAGTGGATATGCTCAAGCCAGTGATGGAGGAACTCGATGGTATAACCAGCAACTGACTGTAATGAATAAAAACTTTGCATCTCAGCAGCTCCAACTGAAAGAAATGGAGAAGAAGGTGGAGCACCACAAGCAAGAAAATGAAGAAAAGAAGGGGAGAAGGGGAAACAAAGCAAAATCTACAAGAAAACCGTTTGTTACAGCTGCAGATGGAAAAAGCCAACATGATTCTCAGATTCCAGGGAGTTCCTGAGGCAGAGAAGGAGGATCTGAGGAAGATACTTAGCGAGATCATCGCTCCAGCAATAGGCTTAACAGCGGATGAACTGGTAAAAGAGATGGAGGCGGCTTATAGGGCTTACTCCAATTACATTAACAAAATAGCCTGCCTGGAGAAATTGTGGTCAGATTCTCAAGAAGACAGACCAGAGATGCTATTTTAAAGGTGACATCAGCAACTCCACTGAAAATGGGAAAGCTAATCATTAAAACTTTAAAAGACATTCCATTTGAAATTCGTCAAAAGAGGAAAAACTATAAGGACTTAATTTATTTTCTTCAAGCTTTTCTTCAAAGATGATCAGAAAGCTCTCTCATAACAACTAAAAAATAACATGTTAACACTGAAGCTGAGACAAACAAGAACTCTATAAGTATTAGGGCTGCCAAGTGGGGGCGGGTGGTGGGTAAACCCCCACTTTGGAGGCCCGATTTCCGCCGCCGTGGAATTGGGCCCCAGGGGGCGTGGAATACCGCCCCCCCCCAAAGCGCAGCGTGGTTGTGTCACCAGAGGTGACGCAACCACGTTGTTCACGGGGGCGTGGCCCCGATCGTCGGAGGGAAACCCCCTCTAATGATTGGGGCCACACCCCCAACGTGAGCGACGTAGCGCGTCACTTCCTGTGATGTGCTGGCGGCGCGCGTGCGCTTTGTGCACACACGCACACATCGCTGGAGAGCTCCCGGAGCCCGGCGAGGCTCCCCCGTCACCAAGGTAAGTAGACTTGGCAACCCTAACAAGTATATTGTTTTTATTAAAACTTATATTACTAACACTTTCACTAACAGGGATAAGATCAACTCCTCTTGGGGTTTTAGTAAAGTGTGGATACCTTTTCTTTGTCCCTAGATGTAGTCCCCTTCCTTCATACTTTCTTTGTAGTTTGTAGTGTATTGCAAAAATAAAAATATTCCTATGGGGATTGAAAAAAAATACCAGATGCTTTCAAGTTCCCTAGATGGCTTAATAAAGCTGAAATTCAGAGCTCTTGGCAAAATTCGTCTGCTTTCAGGTTTGCTTCTGAAATATGAGAAACAAAGGGAGGGTGAACTGTTTAAAATATGCACAAGAACTTTGTACTCTTTGTAAGACGCTGTCATATTTCACTGCTGGCTGAAGATGCATATTTGTTTTAAAAAGACTGAAGACTTGTTGCTATTCAAATTACTTAAAAATTGGTTTAATGCTTTCCCTTACAATATTCGTTGTACTCTTTTATCAGGTCATTAAGCTTATGGTGAATTAAACTCATTGTCCTGTTCTTTTTTTGTTTCAGTCACATCGATCAGACGACAACTTGGCAGGATCCACGAAAGGCCCTCCTTTCCCAGTTGAACGTTACAGCCCCCACAAGCCCTCCACTGCAACAGAACATCATAAATTCAGCATCGGGTAAGGAGGAATCAACAAATCTTCAAAGAAGTTGCCACAAGCAGCTTGGCATCTCGTAATGTAAAGCTATGCATCGCCCAGGCATGGCCTGTCATTATTCTCCTCCTGCAAGTGCTTCCTATAGAAAGCATATCTTACCTCTCCCCTGTAATTATAATATAGTGGCATTTCTACTGCATGGGTGCAGCACCCAATCAGAAACAGTGTATGTTTGTGTCATTAAAGAGGAGGTCACATTACTTCTGTAATGGGAAGTGAGATGTAATTTTACAGGAACATATAAGGCCTTGTTTATGGAAAAATTAGGTATTGCTCCGTTATTCCTTTAGACTTCTTTTGCCTTGATGTTTGTTAGAATTGTGTCTTTCTCCTCCATCTCTGTTTTGCTGAGCAAAAAAATAAAAATAAAATTGAGCATGGACAGTGGCACAAGAGCTTCCAATAAACCCAGATGCCAACTTTGCTGCCACATACACCCAGATAACACAATCACTGGACCTAACATCAACTACATCATCTCAGGCTTATTCACATGCTCAACGTCTGTGGCGAAATGGGGACCTGCCCTCAGTCCTGGGAGACTGAGCAGCCGTTCGGTGGCTCGCAAGCCCTTGTTTTCGCCTGCCCACCCTGTCTGGTGGGACTATTTCCTTTCCTCAGTCGCTGCCACCACTCACTGAATTTACACTGCTTTCCTAGAGGGACAGTGAGACCCCTCTGGCTGATTTCCCAGCCTTGGGAAGTGGATACCTTAATCCTTGGGCACCCCCTGGAGAGCACCCTCTGATTTGGACCTGCGTGGCTTCCCTGGTCTTCCTTTGCCCTGTGTAATGTGCTGAGCAGGGAGGACTATGTGGTCAAAGCACTACCAGGTTTTATAGTTCAAAAAGAAGGTTTAATTAAACTATGTACAAGGTTAGGCACAGACATAACACAAGCACTTCAGCCCAACTGGGCAGAAAATAAACAGAATCAAACCGCAATTCCTCTGTCCCTACACACACCCTGATCTAACTAAGTCGGTGGCTGCAGGACAAGATTCACTCTCCCCCTCCTTGTCAGTGGAATGAGACTTCAGCCCCTCTCTCAGGACTGGTCACCAATACTGCTATCCTCCTGGCTGTCCACCACAATTTATAGTGGTCGGGATGACCCACGGAGTGTGAGGTAGCAGGAGTCCCACCTGGGCTAGTTCAAGGCCAAGATGAAGGCTGAGACTAACCCCTCCCTGGATGAGCAGAAGCCTTTATCTGGCTGTCTCCATCCCTACTTTCCCACACTTCCCCCCCAAAGCTGCTGGGAAATGTAGGCAGGGAGGTATGGCAGCTCCATTGTCCCCTATGGAGCACCTCTCCCCTCCAGAAGGACTACCAGATTGGCAGCCATTTTGAGGTAAACTGCTGCCTCTGCCTGGCAGCCATTTCATTATACCTTCTAACAGTGTATATGCCATTAAATGCCAACAATGTCCTTCGGTTCTCCACATAGGACAAACATGTCAAACCCTATGCCAAAAAATAAATGGACAGAAATCTGACATCAAGAATCACCCTTCCAGGACATTCAGTGGGTGACCTCAAAGTTGCTGCTTTATTACAAAGGAACTTCAGGACCAGACTAGAAAGGGAAGTTGCTGAGTTGCAAGTTATTACAACACTCAGAACAATGGAATCCCCAGGACTTAACAGGGATATTGGTATCGTTTCTCACTACATATGCTAACCTCATTCAACCCTTCCATCTGTATTCTCATCTATTCCCTAGAAGGGCCTTTTTATTTTATCTCTTATTTGGGATAATAGATTAGAATGGTAGATTGTAATGTAACAATGAATAGTAGAAATTGGAATGTATTTCTCTGGTCTGGGGTCAGGGAAGATAAATCTGTGCGGCCAATTGCCCTACTTCAAAGAAGAAGATGTTGTAAAGTCGCCTCCATGCTTGAGAGGAGATGGATGGCAGGTCTCAATTAAATACTCTCAGCATTCCACAATTAAAAATACACCGATCTCCAATTTTGACATATTTATTTCCTTCTCTGTTTTTGCCCCCAAATTGAACCCAAACAAATGGTAACCATATAAACGAAGGTTATTATTCCTGTTTGATTCCTGAATCTGTTAAACATCTTCATTATACTGTATAATAATTTACTGCTCACCCTCTACCTATATACATGGACTAGTAATTTCCATTTTGTTTTTTTCTCTGGTAACTAACCCCCCCTTCCTATATGTAATGGTTGAGGAAATCCCATTTCTCTGTATCTGAAGAAGTGTGCTTGCACTCAAAAGTGCTTTGATTATACCTTGATTAAAACTTTGTTGGTGTTAAAGGTGCCACTGGACTCAAATTTTGTTCTGAGCAAACTAATGTGTGCTTTCTGACCACAACCCTGTTGAAACCATCATCCATTTTTCACCAATCTTTTTTTTTAATTTGGAAACAATGCACTTAACCTCTCCTGCTGTCTTTGATCTTACATAACTCCTCCTTAGTTTCCCCCCTCCAGTCTCTTTTCATAGGAGGGTATTTCATTTGTGGGCAGTAGCTGGGTTATACCCTTGGCAGGGCTGTAGATGGTGCAGGTGAAAGGGGAAGAGATGGAGGAGCAAGGAAGGCTGTCTGTAAGGACTGAGGATAAATGAGAGACTGTTACAGTCCCCACAGAAAAGATGAGCAGATGGAATATGTTTCAACCCTTTTTTGTGGGACTCTTAATGATCAGAAGACCGTGGCTCTGAGAAAATGGGTTTGTTTTTGTTGGCATCCTCCACCACTTTCTGTAGGTCAAAATTGGGAGGTGGCTACCTATAATCTAGATTGTGTAGTAAAGGACCAGTATTTACCTGTACCTAATCTGGATGAAATTTCTTGCTGTCCATTCATCATGGGTACTTATGTGCCCAGGTAGTATTTGCAATGTGTTTTGTTTGAATGCGTGCTGAGAGGTGATGTAATAAAAATGAGCATCTGCAGCGACAAAGTTTTCAAGGTACAAAGAATCCAATTTTCTGTTTGGTTTGTTTCCACCAGGCAAATATAAAACTGTGCCGTGTGAATTACAAGTGATTCAGTTGGAAGATCCAAATTCCGTAATTGGTCTTTGAAATCACACTGCGGATTTGGAAATTATTTGCTTTTATTACATGTACTAATGCCCTCTGTTGGAGATTCTGATCTTGTGAAATGTGACCCTTTTTAAAGCAGTCAGTAAGGTAGGTTGGCAGTCCAGAACTGTAAAATTAATCCTTGGCAGTTATAGTTTTTGAAGGGAGTCCTTAAGGGGGTGGAGTGGTGGTAGGAAAGTGGGCCAATTGATGGGGGACTCCTACAGCAATATTTGCATCATCTACTTCAGGGGTCCCAAACTTTTTGAGCCTGTGGGCACCTTTGGAATTCTGATACAAGTTGGTGGGCACAACTGCAAAATGGCTACAACATTAGGTGGAGCCAGTCATGAAACGGCTGCTGCAGGAGGCAGAACCAACCACCAAGTCGGCTTATCTATATATCTAATTCCCAACATGCCCCCTCCGTGCGGATATCTAAATCCGCACATCAGGGGCACTTGGGTGGCAGGGAGATTTTCCTGCACATTTGAGGCAATCCCCACATGTGCAGAAAAATCTAAAAACTGTAAAAAAAAATATGGGGGGGGGATATTTAAATCCCCCCAAAAGTAAAAGAGCCTTCCCTGCGCAGGCACAGAGAACACTCTGAGAATGGCTTCGCCGCCGCTCCCAAGGAGGGGGCGGGAGAAGGCTTGGCCAGCGGGTGGCTGTAAGCTGCTCAGCCCTCGCTGCCGCCCGGGGGGGAGGGGAAAAGTTTGGTGGGTCAAGCTCAGGCCTCGCCACCACTGCTGCTGCTGGGAGGGGAGAAAGTTCGGCAGGCCGCCGCTAGGGCAGGGGGGTGGGAGAAAGCTTGGCGGGCCAAGTTCAGGCCTTGCCACCAGTGCAACTATCTCGCTGCCGCGGGGGGAGAACCCTTAGCGGGCCGGTGGCCACTGGGGGCGGGGGGAGGAGAAGGTTTGATGGGCCTCATGGGTCTGCCTACTGGGCTCACCTGCTGCCACTTCCTCCTCCTGCAGATCTCCTGCTTCTGCAGGCCGGGAGCTGTGGGGAATACCCCCCCCGCTAGTATTGCGGGTCCACCTTCTTGTATATAACTAATAGTAACTCTTCAGCAATTCAGGTAGAAGCTCTGTCTAATGGGATGCCTTTTAATCTACACAGCCAATCAGAAGCCCTGCTAAGCAAAAGCCCCACCTAGCCCTGCCCCGCTTTCTAAAAGCACTTGGCAGGTGCCAGAAAAGTTGACAGTGGGCAGCATGGCACCCATTGGGGACCTCTGATTTGTCTGTTAGATAAAGTTGTGCTTTACAATAGGAAGAGTGATTGAGTGGGGGCGGGGTGGTATACATCTGGGAACAAACCAGAAGAGCAGTTTGAGAACCGCTAGAGTCATGTATCCAGAAGAATAAAATTCTACTCTTGACTTGTTTGAAACTGGGAAAGGGTGATGCTTCATGGCAGTACATTATGACGTATAGGATGCGTGTGTGCAGTAATGCATATTCTTAGTTTATGACAGTTTCTTGGTTTCTTAGTAGTGCTTCTCACAGCTGTTGGGTAACAGACAACTTGCTGCCTTGCCTAAATTTGAAAGAAAATCTAGCAATTAATGATTACCAAAGATTTCTGAAGGGGCACCCCAGATTGGGGGATGAATGGGCGGGGCATAGCTGTTTGCTGCACGAGTGGATTGAGGGGAAATGCTTGCATTAAAAAGCTTTTTATGTTTACTTACCATATAACAGGACGTCCTACTTTTTGTGGCTTACACACTGTAGTCTTCAGCGTTTATGTGCCAGTGCAGTGTAGTATAAAGAGTTCTGTGAGTTCAGACCTATATTCTGACATGAAGCTCATGGGTTTGTTAGAAAGGGTGGTGGTAGAGGGGGGAAGAAGAGAATAACATATGCAACCCGGCAGTTTTTAGGGGGGAAGGTTTGGCTAAAATCAACTTTTTAAAACCTGTATATTGTGGCATCAATGGGCACCAGTTTTCTTCCTGATGGGCATCCAAAGTATCTTACAGTTTTCTCCCCTTCTCTCTTATATCCTCACAATAGTTAGGTTAGGCTGACTGTGTGTGACTGGCCCAGTGTTACCCAGCGGACTTTCAGGGCAGAGTGCAGACTAGTTTACAGTTGTCAAATAGCTTAGTCTGTAAACAGTTGCAAGACACTAAGAAGAGGACAAATCAGGAAAGGGGGAAAGATGGGGGATTTTGTACTACATTTTTCTTCCATATTCTGTTCTAAAGATGTATAGTTTTTTCCACTGCACTTTATCTCCACCGTGTGTGGTGTGTTAATCTGAAAGAGGGAGTTAATTGCCTAGAGTTGCCCAACCAGGCATTGGAACCCAGGTCTTGCAATTCATAGTCCAGTGGCCTAGAGTTGCCCATTGTTCTTCACTGCAACCAGGCATTTGAACCCAGGTCTTGCAATTCATAGTCCAGCGCTTCAGCTGCTGTGCTGTGCGGCCCTGGCTTAATGTGAAGAAACAGTTACACGTAACTTTGATTTTGTTGGCGACAGTTGGATGAAGTCTTGAAGGGGAGAGTATTTTTAAAAAGAAGGAAAACCTTTGTGTTGCTGAGCGTTTGGAAGCAAAGGGTCATGGGCCAAGCCTATATCTGGTAACTGGAAAAACCAGTGCATAGCACTTTGTTTCTTGGCTGTGGAGTCACAGTCGACTTGTGGCAATCACATAGGGTTTTCATAGCAAGGGGCGTTCACAGGTGGTTTGCCATTGCCTGCCTCTGTAGTTATTCCTGGACTTCCTGGGTGGTCTCCCATCCAAGTACTAACCAGGGCACTGCTTAGCTTCCATGATCTGACAATATATTGGGCTAGGCTGCTTCTGTCTAGGTCAGGGCATGTTATAGAATTGCAATGCAGAAATATTCCTCATAAGCAGATGTTTGGTTCTCTTCCACATCATCTTCTGCATTACCTCCGGGTGGTCTTCGGATGGGCAACTCTGAAAGCAATTGTGAATTAATCAGCTTCACTTCTATCTCATCTGCATATATATTTACATAATTAATGTGTCTGTGTGTAGAATTTGCATTGGCGCTAACTGGGGCATGCTTTGTTTCTGTGGTGTCTCAGTGTTGTAATGTTGTTAAAATGGGGCATAGCTGTGAAATGGAATGCTGAAGGTCCCAGCCAGAATATTGACGACTTCACAATTAATTATCTTTATAGCTCTCAACGTACAGAATTCTTCATAATTAATTTGTGCTCACTCCAGTCTTGTAGACAGTAACAAGTCTGAGATGGCAAGACGTAACTGAAGTTGTCCAGTGAATCCACGGTGAAATAGGGTTTTGGACTTGGATCTTTCGTGCTCAAATCCAGTGCTGTGTTTACTGGAAGGTACAAGCCTGAGAAGATTCCAGTGGAAAAACAAAGAAAAGAGCCTCTTCATTTACAGTAGTATAGCAATTGACTTTACGGAATATGTAGCCCACCATCTTTTCACCAATTGCCCCCCAGTGTAGGTTATATAAAAATAAGCATAGTTACATTGAGCAAGACTGTTCATGGTAAGACATTTTGGAGGTCATTAATTTATGGGGTCACCAAAAGTCGAAGCAACTTGATGCCCATAATAATACACACACCCCTAGTCACCCTGGAGGAGAAAATCTCACTTTTTAAACAAAAGCGAAACAGTAGGGAAAGGGAGAAGTTATACATGAAGAGAGTCAACATTAACGCTTAAGTCCTCGTGTGTCCTGGTGTATTTCAGCTGATTCTGTAAGATGAAGAGGGAGAAACAAAAATGGAGACAGCTGCTTCATATCTGATTATGAGGCCTTCAGGGGAGAAGGAATTATCTCCTATCTGTGTAATTACTGCTTCCTCTCAAAAACCCTTGTAACAGGACAAATGTAGAATAAATAAGATGGAGTGATTTCTAAGGCAATTTCATAATCTCCAGAATTAAAGTGCTTCAGTGGAGCACAGCTGCTTTTTCTATCTCTCTCCCCCATACACACACCTCAGGGCTACTAAACAGTGAAACTACTAGTTTCATGTGCTGTGTTCTGTTATACATTTATTTGGGGTTTATTTCTTTAAATAGCTAAGTCTTTTCAGTGGGGGGCAAACCAGAGCCTACTATGAATTGCTTCCTTCTGTGTTACAGGCCCGCTCCCTGATGGATGGGAACAAGCCATGACCCAGGATGGAGAAATTTACTACATAAACCATAAGAACAAGACCACATCTTGGCTAGATCCAAGGCTTGACCCACGCTTTGGTAAAAGTTCCTCTCACTTCAGACTCTTTTTTTGTTTGTTTCACTTAGGACACTTCTCTATTTAGGTAATATTTTAATTTTTCTTATTGTAAGTTGAGACCTGTAGCAAAGACTAGGCTAACCTTCTGGCCACTTCATATTAACATTTGGTTCATCTAGGGCTGCCAAGTGGGGGCGGGGGGCAAGTAAACCCCTGCTGCCCAATTTCTGCCGCTGCAGAATCGGGCCCCGGGGGGAACCCTGCCCCCCGAAGCGTGGCGTGGCTGCGTCACCAAAGGTGACGCAACCACGTTAAGCACGTTGGGGGCATGGCCCCGATTGGCAGAGGGAAAACTCTATGGTTTTCCCTCTGCCGATCGGGGCCACGCCCCCAACGTGCTCTACGTCGTGCGTCACTTCCTGTGACGTGCAGGCGGCGCGCGCACGTCCCGCAGCGACTTCTGGAGCCCAGGGACAGTCCCCCCCCCGGTGAGTATAAACGACTTGGCAACCCTATGTTCATCCCCTCCCCTCTCCTCAGACTGTGTCTCTCTTCAGCCAGCTTGTGCATCTGCCCACTTCTACCAGGAGACATCCTCCCTACGCAGCACATGAAGTTTCTCCTGAGTTCTGTTTTCATCTTAATTCATTTAATTTATTTGTGTCAAACCTTTACTTGCTGTCTTTGCACCCACATAAGAGTCCCCAAGGTGGCAAACATCAGGCATTAAAACATTATAAACAGTAGAATAACATTTAAAACATACAAATATAAATATTTAACACCACCTGCTTTTAGCTCTCCCCTGATTCTACCAACCCAGAAATGTGAAGGCTGGGGGAGGGGTTCCTTCCCCACCCCCAGGAGCATTTCCAGTTTTTCTGAAAGGAAAAATTGGACAGTTGAGGCAACACTTCCCTTTTGGAATGAGTGAAAGGCCTTTTATAAGATATTTTACTCAAATGCTTTCTAAGAAGTGTAATTGTTTTAAATGAAAGATAGTCTACAGTATTAGATGCTGATTCCTGGGAATGCCACAGGAATATTAAAACGTTTGTCCTTTAAATGTAAACAGTTTTGGCTCCATCTAGTATTACCTACATTGCTTATGTTTATTGGAGTTAGTATTTTCAATTTTAAAGTTAACTTGGTCTCCAAATCTGATAGTACTGTGACTGGATTAAGACTTAAGCTGCTTTTTTCTTCACTACACAGTTTATGGTTACTATTTTTTACTTCCATTTTGTCCTATTTGTGTGAAAACTAATATTAAGCACTAAGATACGGCAGTTTGTGGGGTTCTCTATTTGGAGAGCCATTCTGGTGTAGTGGTTCAGCAATGTACTCTAATCTGGAGAACCGAGTTTGATTCCCCACTCCTCCTCCACATGCAGCCAGCTCAATGACCTTGGGTCAGTCACAGTTCTTTCAGAGCTGTTCTCTCTGACCTCTCTCAGCCCCACCTACCTCACAGGGTGTCTGTTGTGGGGAGGGGAAGGGAAGGAGATTGAAACCACTTGGAGACTCCGAGTGAAGGGCTGGGTATAAATCCAATTCTTCTCCTCCTCCTCCTCTATCTCCTCCTCTGTATCAGGTATATTTGTGTTTTGTTTGAACAAAACAAAGGCATTTATACTTTCAGCTTTCATAGATATGCCAAGTAGTACAACTGTATGTGCTAACAGATTTGAGTGGTGTGTTTCATTGTTAAAGGAGTAAAATAGGTTTAGGCTTGATAAGAAATTAAACATTGCATATATTTTGATTTCTTTTCCCAAATTTCTGTTTGTGTTAAAGTAGGTTTCCCCCCCTGCTTCAAAGTTTCCGGGAAACTTGCGCTGCTACTCCCATCCTTCCTGTGGGTCCTTGCTTCTCAGCCTCCTATGATATTTACCATTTCTTTGCAGAGTTCAGTGCACGCCAACCATCTTCTCAGTCTTCATATTACAGATAGGGGGATTAGGCTGTTAATGGTCACTTGCTTTAGCCCACCTACTGCATGCAGAGGGCAGGATTCCAACCAGGATCATCCTGGACAGGGCTACAAGCCCGCTCTACCTACCTTGTCCCCATTTTTTAAAAGCAAAACTGCCTTTTCCTAACATGGTGTCTGTTCAGCCTCTCAGTCTCCCTTCAGCTGTCTTAACACCTCCCGTTCAGTTTCTTAGGAACTGAGATCCAGACATCTAACTGAGTCACCAACCACTGCTTCTGCCAATCAGCCTTTCTTCACTGGCTGACTTTCCCGTTCGCACAGTGCTGCTCACTGTTAACATTGCTCCCCAGCGATTCAGATCTTCGTGGAATATCTGTGACTTCACAGTAGCGACCATCTGAGTATATATAGGAGCGTAGCGTCAACGTAGAGGCTATGAGAGTAGTGAACAGGTGATTTTCCTCTCCTCCTTTCTCTACCTTTTTCATGTGTGGTGATCTGGATTAGTGGTTATAAATATGGAATAATGAATGCCTTTCTGGATTAAACGACACAAACAATACTGCTGCAACTATAATGTGTGTTTGTGGTTTATAATCTTGTTTTAAATGTAAAAGCATGAATGAAGTCTGAGATTAGGGGCGATTTCTCACTAGAGCTGCCTCGTAGCACAGCGCCGTTTGCCCCAACACAAACATGTCAATTTCACACCCGAGGCTGCGGGTCTGCATTTGACTTGGGGGTTCGCCCGGTTTCCTCCACAGTTTCATGATCCTCAAAAACCAGGATCGCGAAACTGCGGAGGAAATCGGGCAAAGCCCCGAGTCAAAATGCAGCCCCGGAGCTTCGGGTTTGAAATTGACATGTTTGTGTCGGGGCAAACGGCGCTGGGCTGTGAGGCAGCTCTAGTGAGAAATCGCCCTAGTAGTTCTACCCATGTAGGGGCCCAGATGGAATCTTTGGGGGGGGGGCATGTTAGCTCTTGAGAGCCCTGACCTCAAAGAGGGACTGTGGATCAGGGGCTGAACATCTGCTTTTGAACCTAGGACCCTCTGCAAGCACAGCTCCAGTTTAAAAAGAAAAAAAATCCAATGATGTGAAAGATTTTCCTCCGGTCCTAAAGAACTTCTGCCAGTTAAAATATGTTATGTTATTTATCTGCGTTATTTATTGTCTCCCTTTCTGTCTGAGACTCAAGGCGGATTACGCAGAGTGAGTCAATACAATCAACAGTATGGGGAAGTCAGAAATCAATGCGACAGGATCAAGGTTGTAGAACCAACCAGAAATCTGAAAACAGAACTGAAGCATAAGTATTACCATGACACATTACACGACG